GATGTTGATTCTGTCCCATACATTTGTCACTTATCAAGGCAGGAATAATTGGATATTCATAGCCACATGTACACACACAGATATGCAAGAAGACCTAAAGGATACTCACAACAACATAACTGCAGTAACTGTCTGTAATGCTTCTCTTTTCCAAATTCCTCAACCCATTACTTGTTACTCTCCTTCACTGCTGCTTCTCTTTTTCAGTTAGAATTTAAAAAAACAAACCAAGAAACAGAAAACATGTAAGTCAGCATAACTTCCATCCTTACCTAGCACATACTAATTCCCAGATTAGACAACCATTCCAATAGGAAAAGAACAATTATTTATGTTTTACTTTATTAATTACAATGAACAAGCCCCATGAACAGTCTGGGAACAGGTGGCAAAACCACAAAACCCTGTAAAAGAAGATGAGCTCTAGTTATGTCTGTACTCCTCTTTTTCAGCTCCTTTCCAAAAGCTCAATTGTATCTTTACTTCAGAAGAATACGGCAACAGGCTGTAGTTAATTTGCAGCATTTCCCCTTAATTTGGAGATACAAATACAGTGGAAAAGCCAAAACAGTGTTTATGTCACTTTTTCAAAGCTCTTATTCCTTTTTAACATTCTGTAATACAGTTCATGTAGCCCCTGTGAGTTACCCCTTCATGATTACCCAGGAAAACCACCACAAATATACAAATATCAAATGGGAAGCCCAGAATGGAAGCATACAGAGGCCACCAGGAGATGGTCTTCACCTTTCATTATGTCCCTCCCCCATTCAGTATAAGGAATATAGGAGCACACACACAACAGGCAAACGATACAGCGAAAAAAACAGCAGCAGAACAAAGAGTGTTCTCCGTGGTAAACCTGATCTGTACTCAAAGATTATGCACATTTGGATGCACTACCTATCTACGTGGCTGTCAAGGGGGCAATTGTTGGAAGGATCAATATGAGTTACTCATGCTTTACACTAGATCAAAATTATATATTATTTGTTTCCCTTCAAACAATAGGCCATACAAAAATCTGGTTAAAAACAAGCACACTTACAAAACCTCCCTAGAGCTTTGTCATTTTTTTCCAGGTAAAGAGGTGAACCTCTGCCTCATCAAACACAGGAAACCAGCATATGAAGCTGGCCAGCTGAGAGCTCCCTGCTATGAACTCAAGATTACAATCAAACTATTTATCGGAAACAGGACAGATGCTAAGTTTCTGCATGAAGTGGAACATAATGCTATCACGTAAAAAGGCAAGAAAAGAAAACTTCAGCAGGGTCTTGCTACAAAGTTAATAGACATAAAAAATTCTCCCAATTCACACACAGACTTGAGGTGTGTCAGTAATTATTGATACCCATTCCTCACCTTAAAGTTTCCCTGCAAGCAACAATCAGAATTATATATAATCTCTGCATGAAACTAATGAATTCATGACAAAGACGACTCCTCAACATGATCAGAGATAGTGCATCAGGAGTATTAGCATCAGGGCTTAATGACCAAAGCCAGTCTTAAAGCCACGTTCAAACTATAATGGAGCTAGATCAAATACCAATGCTACACAGCATCAGCTGTCCAAGGTCTTCAGTCTCCACCCCCACCCTCCCCACCTCCGAAATAAAGAACAATGCAAAGAATAAACACTCTTCCTCTATCAAAAATGCAACAAATATTTTTGCTCTCTATATAAAGCTATTTATAAACAAAGGTACAGCACATTGATAAGTAGAAACTTCCATTCAAGTCAGAGAAAATACATTTTAAACATTAACCAATTACAACTCTCAGCACTCCAATAAAACACATACCTGTAAAATAAAGGTAGTATGGCAAAGGAAAAAAAGGAAAAAGATACAGGATAGGCATATCCTATTAAATTTGGGCAATGCCTTCCTGTGAACTATTTCTGACCCAAGAAACTTTCTGAACCAAAACCTACTACATTAGGTTTTTTTCCTTCTTCAGATGTTAGCTAGCAGAGATCACCATTCTTGTAATTTAAGATTGTTTCACTAGACCAAGTACACTTCTCTCAACTTTCCTCCCCAAAAGTAAGCAACTTAGAGGTAAACAGCTGTGACAAAAGAATTTTACGTTCATAATACCTTTTGAAGGGTACCAGACTTCAAAACAGATAACTACAGAACCAAAACATCTTAGTTATCTGCAGGAGATTCAAACACTTCAGAAGAATACACAAATTCACCATCTTAGTTCCTCCCTTACAACGAAACCCCAAGAAATCGAAGAAACCTTTATGTTTCCATCCACCGTCTGCTTATCTAACTGCTATCACATCTAGATCTTGTTAGGCAGACCCCCAGCTTGAGGTTAGCTGTCAAGTGTCAGAGGCCCTGTCTGCACTTCCACATAAGTATTCCCGAAACACCATCACTATATTAAATACACACGGGTGCAATCAAAGGAGCCTGCTCTTCTAAGCTCAGAGCAGGTTGTTGTGGGGCAAAAATGAGTGAAGTGGAAAGACAGACAATGGTCTAAATTTGAACATGGTGGCAACAAACACACGGGATAAGATACAACTGGGAAAACAAATAACATGTTCCACAATAATCCTGCTAGTTCCTAGACATTTTAGGCTGCACTGCCACTATCACAAGGCAGAATAGCAGAGTCCATTAGATGATTGACTTAAAGTAAAAAACAGCTAGAAATATACTGCCAGGTGATTAGAAGCAAACTGGTTGGAAATTTAAACACCATTTTGATTCATTAATCTCCAACAGCTAAAGACAAACTTAAAGCAAAATTAACATGATTGTAAACTAAGCACTTGTATCCTGTGGCTACTTTTTGGCCTGCTGAGAGAGAATGAGCTGATCAAAGCCACTTCATTGAGAGTGGCAAGATTAGTTCTGCTTCAGTGAGCTCACAGTTAGTTCCCATTAACTAAACTGTTTTAGAAGCTAGTAACACTGTAATTAATCTTCACTTCAATTTGAAGTAAAACAGAGAAGTGACCCATCCATCTCCTGATGACACTGCACCTGCCCTACGAGCCAGTACAAGTTTATGGAGTCTGCTGTTCCTGTTGACCAGGCAAAGAGCAGTAGTTAACTTCACGTGAAGGGGCACAAGCACCCAAGACCTCCCTGGGAAAGTGAAGCAGAGGTTTTGATCCACCTAGAAGTTGAAATCCTGCCTTGCCCGCAAGTGGCAAGTTGAAATCCTACCAAGTCATTGCAGCTACAGTAGGAATCCACTCTGCCCGTCAGCACGAGGAGCTCGCAGCTACAAGCGGGCTCTGAAAGAGATACAGCAGCACAATGAATGGCTCGAGTTCCGGGGTCACACCCTCCAAGGCAAGCTTAGTGATTCAGCAGCAAGTTAGGACCGACTTAAATTATAAACGTTTTATGCATTTGCATTTCAGAGTGGCTCGTTAGGTTACCAGCAGTTTGTAAAATTATGTCCCTTAAGTAAATTGATGAAATTCAAAGATAAAGGAAAAACAACCACCCAAACAACCAACGAACAACTACAAACCTTCAATCACCACTTGTTTAAATCCATCTGAAATCTGTCTTCAGCATCCCAACCTTCTACTGTTCACTGCTGTCACCATATTTCTCTCCACATAGTGCAATAGTTTAGTATATCTCGATAATTTTTATTACAAAATGCAACTTTCCAGAATTGAATTCCATGTTATTTTTAGCTGATATTCATCAGGGCCTAAATCTATATCTACAAAATCTTTCTCCAATAATACATAGTACATTACATAGATAAGATTCTCTGCACTTGTAAGAAAAATCCAATCTGAATACATTTCTTTCTGATAATTTTTCCTCTGTAGTGGCTTTACCTTTCAGTGAGATTTCGAAGAAGAAATGTTCAGGTGCAGTAATTGGTAAATAACTTTTCATGCATATGTCTGAAGTTCCTATGAAACTACCTTCAAAGATCTGTCTACAGGTTCATTGTCCTTTACTTATGAAAATGTTAGAGCACTAAAATGAAGTAAGAGTCATGAAAGACTTTGCCAAATAAAATATAATCAAAACAACAAAAAACTGTTATTGCTCTAGAAAAAAAAAATTCCTCTCAGAATAGCCACGCCCATAAGTCTCCTCAGCTCTGTGCTTCAAGGAAGACTCCCAAGTATTTTCAAAAGGTAGTACTGGAAATTAGAAGAAACTCCAGGGGAAGAAAAAAACCAAACCAACAACAATAAAAAAAACAACAAACCAAAAACAAACAAACAAAAAAACCCCACACAAACGGGGCGGGGGGGAGAAAAACAACAAAACACACTAAAACCAGGCATGCTAATGAGCTATTGCCCTCACAGCATTTCACAACTGTGTCTTTTCCATAAAAAGGACATTACTTATTTACTAGCACTTCAGCCACCCTAAGATCTTAGGACCTGAGCGTCTTGCTTCTTCCATTGTTAATGTCCTTTGTTTCCCAGACGTCAACTGCCTTTTCTTTTTAATAGCTCGCATGCTTGAAGCCATCAGGGTAAGCTTTATTGGTCTTAGAATTGAACCTGAGGAAAAACTTCTGTGCTTGAAGACCTGTTGATTTGTTCCTAAGTGTTGCAGATGATTTAAGAACATTCCACCGCTCACATCGCGAGGCAAACGCAGCTGCAGCTGCAGCACTAAAGCAGAAGCAAAGAACAGTGACTAAGCAGCCAACTAATTTCGGAGTAAATAAAGGCAGGTGTTTTTCTCACATAATAGAGATGGCAGAAAACTAGGGCAAAAGCATAGGAGGCAGTATGCGAACAACAGTCTTCATGATTCTTAGACCACAGTGGCGTTGTGATGAACGTAAAATATTAGAGAAAATCATGATAAATCTCTGCAAATAAAAAAGGCTTAAGTTAAAAAAGAACCTCAGAAACTAGTTTGAAATAATTATATTTTTTTCTCTACTTCTTGAATCGGATTTTCTAATGTTTTGAAACGTTAGCACACGTATCGCCGTGCAAATATTCAACAAATAAATATATTTTAATTCTCCACAGCATGAAGTTATTTCGGAAATGTAGGGTAAGGTTATCCTGCTAAAAGCACCTTCGAGTGCGACCCTCAAACGTTTGTTTTCTTAGTTCGTTGAAACTTGAGGGCAGAAGTTTGTATTTCTGCAAAGCATCTTGCGAGGTGAAACGCATTTTAACTTCAGCAAAACCAACGACCCAGAGAACACAGGGATGAGGCGCGCGCCCCTCAGGAAGAGGCAAGACAAGGAGCTGGGAAGCAGGATGGTTTCCCAAGGATTTATGAAGCTTTACAAAAACCCGACGGCGGTAACCGTGAAGGTTCTGCAGGCCGGGAGGTGACCGGGGAATGGGCACCCGAATGTCGCGGCGCAGGGGAGCGTTCCCGGGGCGCTCGGGTTCATGCCCAGCCGGGGACAGCCGAGGTGACAGCCCGTGCTGGCCCCGGACACGCCGAGCGGCACCGGCCGCGGCGGGGGCTCCGGCCCGGGGCAGCGACGCCTCCTCGGCGCTCGCTGCGTGAGAACGAACGAGCGCTCGCTGTGCCTGACAC